GGGATTGGGGATTGCTCTCAGGACCTTGCACTTATGAGGCAGGCAGCAGCACCACTGAGCTACATCCCCGACCCCTAGCTACACTTAAAAAACAAATAAATATTTTTTAAAAGATAGCAAAGTAAACTACTGTTTACTGTTTATAATTTTAGTATTTCTATTATTATTATTATTATTATTATTTGTACCAGGGATTGAACTCAGGACCTTGCACTTATGAGGCAGGCAGCAGCACCACTGAGCTACATCCCCGACCCCTAGCTACACTTAAAAAACAAATAAATATTTTTTAAAAGATAGCAAAGTAAACTACTGTTTACTGTTTATAAAGTTTTAGTATTCAATAAATTAGATAAGAGGATTTATATATTTTTGGGTTTAAAAAGATATTTAAAAAATCTTATATGAATTTATACTCCAGACCAAAGATAATAAATACGCATGCTTGTAAACAATGACCAGAGTAAGAAAAAAGTCCATGGATTTATCTTTTCCTCACCTCCTTATTCATCCACTCTTATTACCAAATTTATCCTGACCCTACCTTGGCTAAGTTATTCCATGGCTCTCTCTTTTAAAATCCAGCTTCCACTCCAAGGGCTAATCCTGGAGACTTTTAGTAAACTAATTCTTCTTTTGCCAGTAGTGGAAATGGGCAGCCTGAGGAGGGAGAGCTATCCCAGGGTAAAAGCAAAGAAGTGCGCAGACCTCTTCAGATCATTGTCAGGACTTCCCAACGATGGCTCTCAGAAGCATTGGCTGCTGGGTGTTTTTGTGTCATTAAGCTATTATTAGGGCTATACTTTCTGTTCTGAAGGTGGTGTTTACAGTGGTTTAAATCCATTAAAAATAACACAGTGATCCTCTCAGTCTCTCCTAAAAAGTCTAAACTATAGTGATATTGCAAATATTTTCCCATATCTCTTGAGGCTGATGCACTCAGAATATGTTCCCAGCACTCAGCAAGTTCCAAGACGGATACTGAGTGTGTTTTGGCTTTTCTGTTTCATCTGTCCAGATATAACCACTTTGGATGCCTTTCCCAATATCTTTTGTGATTTACGTATTTCTACATATTTGCACATGCTGTTATATTTTGTTATATTGATCTTAAGATGCCATTTGTAGATGTATTGGAAAATTAGCTCGTTCAACATCACTCTGTCATTTTCTTTTGCTTTCCTTTGACCATATTTGGGATTGTTAATTAAATCAGTATTCAGTGCTTAATTATGATAGCTATACAAATACTATTCATGGTGAAGTATTACTGTATCTCATTTCTCACATTTTTCTTTCCTGCAGGCAGTAATTTCCCTGTTTCACTCCATCTCTTAGATTTCTTTGTACTTGCTGACAGTTCTTCCTGCCTTTTCCCTCCAGGTTAGGTGCACAGTTCTATTCCCTTTCTAGCCATTCTTGAAGTCCCCTTTGCTTTTCTCTTGGTGAGACTTCTAGTTTCCTAGGTCCTTTTCTCTTCTGTTGGGGAGGGAGAATTCCAGCCTCAGTGCCCTTAGGTCTTTCCTGGCAAGGCTAAGTAGAGCACTCCTGACTGGCAGGGCCATTTCTCAAGCTTTCTGAGGGCTGTATGGTGTGAGTCTGAGAAGTTTTTCACATTTCCATTTTTGGCTTGGAAGGATTTTCTCTGGCCGTGAAATCTTATCATTTGCCTATCTGAATCCATTGTCTAAGATTTTGTTACTATATCTTTTCTCATTTATTCTTTGTATATGCTTGTCTACTGCTACTGGTGTAATTATTATTAATCATCATGCAATTTTAGTGGGGTCTCAGGAAGGAATAAAATTAGATCCATACATTTAGTTACCCAAATAATCTTTACCCTCAAATTTCTAGCAAGACTGAACACAAAATTAGGGGGGGAGCTGTCAAACAGAATTGTTCACAAAATATTTATCAGAATATGAAGTATTATTTTGACAAAATTATCTCTAAAATTAGGAGATAATAAGTTGGAGGGTATCTTCTCTACCTAAAATAATTTCCTCCCTTTCCTTTTTTTAAAGTTACTTTTTGATAGTAGAGAAGATGACTTCACTTCTGAGAAAGTTTGAAAAACAACAATAACTATAATTGTATAAAACTGCCACAGATGTTTTATTTTAGCTTAGAAAAAGCTACTTTTGTATACAAAAATATAGTTCTTTATCATTTGTATTTTTGTTTCTCATTTTAACTCACAAGTTACTTATTTTATGATAAGAAGAACATTTATTTACAAAGAAATTATGTGTTCCATACTCACCTACTAAAGTTTTCCAAACTGGGAGTTCAGGAATATTTAATTCTATTATATGCATAAGTACCTCTGTGTGAAAGGTTAGCACTGACAAATGAATTATATTGTTTCCTTTAGTGTCTGTTTTTCTCCAGTTAGCCCCAAGAGAAAACAGGTATTGAATAGTGTCCAGAGCTCCCGAAGTGGCAGCAAGTAACAGTGGAGTACATTGATTCCTAAAAATCAAGGAATGTGTTGTAATAACATTTGACTACACATAAGTGTCAACTTGAATTTTGTTAAGCCATTCAAAGTACCTTTGTAGGAACCGTGATTGCTACCATCACTGTTTCTTCCTTATGATCACCCTGTATTTCACGTGTAACACATTTGCCTGCCTCACCTGGCTATACAGGTCCCTATGCTCCTTTCTGACTTTATTGTCAAGGCTTTTAATTTCTTTGGAAGTTGATAACACACAAAACTCTTAGAATATACTGTCCTGACTACTCCTTATCACCACTCTGAATCAAGTAAAAAGCAAGGCAAGTATGAGCCCATCTCACAAATGGTGAAACTGAGGCTCAGGTAGGGGTCAAACCTATCTCCTCATACCTCATTTCCAAATTTCAAATCCTATTCCTCATTGTTATAGAAACTAACAACTCGTTTAGATACTGAAGATCTTTTGGCTGGGCACATGGCATCCGGCCCAGTGTTAAATTTCCCAATCACTCTCAGAGCCAGATGTGGCCACACAACCAAATTTGGCCAGTAAGTTGACGGAAGTCACGTGGGCAACTTTCTAAAGAGAATGGAGAGTTTCAATTCTCCCTCCTGTGGTCTCTAGTCAGGACAGTAGAAGCACGAGTTGCTTTCGTACCATGTTATGGAAGCCAAGTTCAGGAGCAGTAAGAGAAAGTTGGTGTCCTGGAACTCTCAAACTACTACAGTAGCCCTACACCACTGAATAATATTTGAAGACATAGAAAAACCCACAAGAAACTCCTCCACCGTCAGATTCAGAGGTGTAAAAGAGTAACGTGTTCTTTAGATTCCTAGACAAGAATGTACCTTTAGAAGAAGCTATACCTCTACCCCAAACATTGGTCCTCACTTAAATCGTGCAACAAAAGATATTGAAGGACACTCTCTTATTTCAAAATTTTCTCATTTTCTTCTTCTGCACTTCTCTTTCAGATACCACCAGATATTGTTCTGTGAACAAGCCCCATCCACTTTGGTCTGGACCCCGAGAGCTAACTCCTGCTTGTATAGGGTGCAGTCTAGAGCCACTTTCTACTCCCTAATCTTAGGCTCCTTCCTAGGCACTAAGTAGTTAACCTGACCCACGATCCCAAGGAACCATATTACTGGGACAAGTTTAGGAAAAACTTCCAGGGGCTCACTGCTGATTCTTCTAGAAAACATGCATAGGTTGATTGAAGCTTTTGTTTTAATAAATTCTAAAGATATGTGGTAAGAGAAGACAGTAAGGACCTCAAGTCACCCATATCAAGAGCACGTCTTTCAGTGTGACTGTGTGGGGAAAGCCATGAATGTAGAAACTTGCATACTTTATAAATAACTTACTCAGCGGTTGCCTCTGCTTCCAGCAGACTGGGATCCTTCCTACAGAGAACAATGATAATGCAGATATTATCATAGAAAGCGGCAAAGTGGATGGGCATCCAGCCTCTTTTTTCAGAAAGTGTGTAATCAGCTTTGAAAGAAAGTAGACAGATGGTGGACTCCAATGAGCAAGTCTGTGCGGCCAGGTGTAGAGGTGTTGGACCTGGGGTGGATGGATGATACTTCAATGGTCAAAGAATTAACACTCCTTACAAAACCACAACTTTTGGGCATTTAACCACAGAACTTAGTATTATACAATATGAAATCTCTAAGATAAGCCCTAAATGAATTAGGCAGTGCTGTATTTCTCCTGTAGCTCTGGATGCCCGACCATGAAAACATCATACTTCTTTAAGGTGAATAAATATACACAACTTTGAAAATGTTAAATAATTAAAATTTAAGTGAATGTACAAAATAGCATTGTGATAAAATAAGCTACTCCTTATTGAAATTATTTTCCATTTTATTCCAATATTTTTTGGTAGGAGATGAGATTGATAAAAAATATGTGTTCACCAAAGGCTTTTCTATTGCTAAATCCAGTGGATATTTGAGAATTCTCATCTTACTTCTGAACAGTATCTTTATACTGTTGGCCACTTGTTCCTATTTAAACTTGTTACTGTCTTGACTTTCGTCATCTTATGCTCCCTATTTTTCTCCTTTGCAGCCGGACTCCTTAGGGACCTTCTCATTATCCTGATGTCTAAATGAACCTTAAAGCTTTTTTAGGCCCTTTTCTCTTCTCAGTGGCTTCACTTACAACCTATAAGTTGGTGACGCCGAGATGACATCTGGTGTCTTCTTTGAGCCCCAGATTTCTATCACCCAGAGCTAAGTACTCCACAAATCACCTCTCACTTAATACTTTCACAGTTGAACTCCTATGTTTCCTTCCAGATCTGGCTCTCTATCTTTGCTCTCTCAATCAGGGAAAGACATTATGATCTAGCCAGTTCTATAAAATAGAAACCTGGAATACTCCTTAGCACCTGTCTTCATTTTATCTCTACAGTCGATCCACCCCCAGGGTCCAAAAATCTCAGGAACCCATCTTTAGGGGCCTGATCTAATCATCCCCCAGCTGCTATCTCTACCTTTTTCTTATGGTCCTTTCCCTACTCAACTTCTTCAAAATGTAATTCTGCTCTTTTGATTTCCTTGCCTAACACTCTTCAGTAGTGGCTCAAAGGCTGTGGATTCTGAGGAAGAGAGATAGGACCTGCTGGATGACCCTGTCTAAGAACTCACAGATTCATACAGCCTTTAGAAGCCCGAGGAGCTAGGTTATGCCAATTGTTTATTTTTAAAGGTGTAAAAACCACTGGGGGGTATGACCTTATAAAAACAGAGGTGGCAGCAAGTTTCACAGTTATAAAAAAGGAAAAAAAACTCAAGAAGGATATCAAGTAACCATGATTAGAAAAAAAAAGGACACTTCAAACTGAATACCAAAGGTTATTATGGGACATCCTCAAGTGACAGAACATTCTGCAGGCTGTAGCCTCTAAGGAGACTTACAATACACGCCACAGCCTTCGGAAGCACTGGAAACACATTTACTTCTTACCGTTTCTTTCTTTTTTCGTGTCCATTTTGGATGACTCTGTTTTAAGAGGGAGCACACATAGAAGCATGTTATTAACATACAGTCATTTCCTGGATTAGTCAAAAGAGTCCTATGAATAGAGCAAAATGACTATGTGTAGATACGGGTAGCAGGATTACATCCATTAATACTGAGCGTGACTTTTGGTCAAGCCACATGGGCGCGCTGCTTGTGCCTACTCAAAGCAGACTTGTGCTACAGTCAAAGCAGACCCAGAAACCCTGCCTCTCCAGGGGCCCCTGAAACTCACAGCTGCTATAATATCATGCTGAGGAAGCAATAATATGACTAATAGATATTACTAGTAATACTTCAACATCTACCCAATCATCACCAAATGGGAATCCAAGAAGGCAGAGGATCAACGGGAAACTTTAATTTACGAAAAGTTCTTTTCACACTAAAAAAAGAGAGGAGTTTAAAGATAACACATCTTTAAATAATAGGGTACCTGTTGTGTTTAGATTTGGTTGTATCATGCATTATTTTAACTGGGTTCATTATGTACTGAATGCCACAACTGACAGACAAATCTTCATACTATGTAAGACATTTTAACCACAGGGATGGAGGTCAGAATAAACTAGGAGTCAGGGTTAAAGCATAACAGTTTATTTTGGTGGGTGCAAAAATTTAACACAGCTTCCTAAAATAGCTGATCTAATTAAAACACAAAATCACCATTTTATTGCTGATACCGTTGTACCACCCATTTCTGATAATTTATCTTTATTTTTCTTGACAATTAATCTCTCACTTTCATTTATAACTTTATTTTTATGCTACTCAAATTTATTCCAGTGAATGTAAAAACATGGGTGCATATTTTATAATCATCAAAAATGGCTTTTTACAGTTTAAACCAGGTTACCCTTGAAGGTGCTATTAATCATAAATAGTATTGTAAAAGAATGTCTTCATTATTAAACATATGAAGAAACTAGTCCTTAGTTTAGAATGATATATTAATTGTGCTTGTACTTCACAATTCTATCCTGCATTCATTCATTCAACAAATATTTCATGAGCAACTACTAATGCCAGGCTTTCTTTGAACACCAGCTTACCATGACAACAATGTCTACCAAATCCTTGCTCTTATGGAGCTACTATTCAATTGAGGGAGACAAAATAAATATAATACTATATAAACTAGCAACAACTGATACTTAATAAAACTAAAAGGAGCTCTTAATAGACAAATGAAACAAAATTCTCAACTTTGCTTAAGACACCAACACCAAACTAACCTAGTTTTAAAATCACATGCATTCAAGGGCTGGAGATTTAGCCCCGTGGTTCTGCTGCCTGCCTTGCAAGTGAAAGGACCCGAGTTCCATCCCTGGTACCCTCCCCTCAAAAGCATTCTTAATGCGGTTAAAATTTACGGTACCTTGGCCCAACATAACAAAGCGTCTCTGGTTGACGTTGAAGTTAGCGTCGCACAGGTGACATATGATGGAGATTCTGTTGTGGAGAGCAGCGTGGTGGAAAATTGCATACCCTGCTTCATCGGAGACATTGATCGTGGAGCTTGAGGTTTTACGGCTAAATGTATGGAAAACAGCAGATAATCCTCTTTCCACAGCGGACTTCAGACCAAATGGTACACTCTAGAATTATTAAGGAGGCCGGAATTAGTTTTTAAATACTTAATATAAAATCTACCTAAAATTTGCTTTCAGGAAAAAAGGACCCAAAAATGTGTTAACCAAATCACATGACTGCTATTCAACTATTGTGAAAATTTCCCAAGATCTACATGGAAAGTTTCTCACTGGTCAATGCTTAATGGTGTCAGAGCTATGTATAAAGTAATGCTTAGAACTTTAGCATTTTATCTGGTGAGATTTTTTTATTTTTAAAGGATAAATTGTAGACCTTTAGATAACAAAACAGTAGACAAATACCTTCTGAGATAATTTAATTTTTATTTATTTATTTATTTTTATTTTTTTGATTTTTTGAGACAGGGTCTCACTATGTAGTGAGACTGACCTGTAACTCACTATGTAGCCCAGGCTGGTCTCAAACTCACAGTGAGCCTCCTGCCTCAGCCTCCCAAGTGCTGGGATTACAGGCCTGCGCCACCACACCCGGCCCTTCTGAGATAATTTGAGAGAAAACGAAGATCATTGGGTTCCTTTCTTTAAAGATAACTTAACTTAGATATCTAGAAACTTAAAGTGTACAACTATGGAAATACAGTTTGTCTTCACATCTCAAAATGGAGAGGTAAAAACACTATTCCTTATACATTCTGACTACTAGATGTTTGAAAATTAAACTATCTATTAAAGTTTTAAAACAAACAAATGGAAAGTAAATAGTCTAAATATTGCTGAGCTGAATGATCAGCTCCAGAAGTCAAGGTCAAGGCTTGTGAAAACAACTTATAGATTTGATGCAGGATTTTAGGTTTGTTCCTTATGTTCACTCCTAGGACAGGAGCCAGCTTCAGCCACTTATGAATTGTGTTACTTGAGAAAGGTTTTAACTCTCTGTACCTTAAATTTCTCATTTGTATAATAAGACCAGTAATAGAACTAGTACCTTAAGAGAATTTTTTGATTTATTATAGTTCCCGGCATACAACATAAGCAGTTAATAAATACTAGCCATTACTAAGATTAATCACAATCTAATTCATTAATAGGCTATTTAATACTATTCCAGAAATTTATGATCCAGAAGCGTATAGCTTTAGATAGTAAAATGTGGGATTTTATATTATATTGAAAATTTTATTTAACCTCTTACTAATTCTTAGGATAAAAATTGGAGAAATATATTTATTGATAATGTAACTTTTTACACCGAATTATGTGACAGTCACTGAAATACCTTGCATTTCATAGCTTTTTTGAAACCAAATTTTTTCTTAAATTGTTCATGTAACTGAGCATCCGTCAGTGGAAGTCTTTTCACCCTCAAAGTGTTCACTATTTCATTTATGGCTCCCCACCACTGTGTCTTATATAGTTGTTGATAGAAAATTTCAAGATCAAAACAGATCACATAATAGCTATAAAAAATAAAGAAGAAAAGTTTTTCAAACTTGGAAGTGGTTTGTTATTTTTTTCTATGTTGGCAAAACTTGATTTTTCCATAATATAGAACTGCAGTTCAAATTGTACTTGATCATAAATATATTAACGACATAATTATTAACTTATTAATCAAGTCTTTATACGAAAAGAATCCTCCCCATATTGGCTCTTTGGGTTTACTCTGTCCTTTCCATACCAGACATTAGGGACACTGCATTAAAGTTACCAGAAGCCCAAATTCTGGCTCAGGGAGTTCTGGGTTCCTCTTTTAACTATTTTTCCTCCTTGTACTCCTCACACTGTGCCAATATTTGCTTTTCTCATGGTTGTTTGCCCTGGAATGAGGCTCTGGGTAATGGCTTGGCTTTTACTCACTGTAGCCTCAAACCAAAGAAACTCACAATCCACCAGATCCCTGAGACATGGGGCAAGGGAGAGGAGCTTACAACAGCCCTGGCCCTGTCACTCTGGAGTGGAGGAGTGATTATATTTTGAGTCAGTGTGTTTCCTGGGAGTGCTTATCATCAAAGGTAAAGAAAAATGGTGGAAAGTTTTAGGGAAACATTGTGTTATGAATTAATCAGAGGCTAATACTCTCCTTGATCTTTACTTCAACTCCACTTTTTAAAAAGATGTAATAGACCTCATTGCTTTGACAGAGGTGTACTTTTTTGAGGCGTCATTCTTCCTAACCACAAAATGAAATGAGACCACACAATACAACGTGAAGGCTGTCTCCACCCGCAGCCTCCCTTCCAGTAAGTAGGATGGCTAGTCACTTGTCTGTCCATCCACACTTGTACAGGTGCCACGTGGCTTTGACTTCAGCTCTGGCAGTAATCACTGTCCAGTCAGTATTCAATAGAAAAATCCTCTTTTCATCCATTACTGTGATACTCCCTATGGCTTATTTCTTTTATTCTCCTATCATGCATCTTGATAGAAACTAATAATCTTTACCTTCCCCTACTGTAACCTTCAACTCATGGTCAATAGCCTCCTTTAACCAAAACCCACCAAAAAACTTACCAACGCATAGCCGCCATATTTACTGGGAGCTCTTCAATCTATTTTCATATTCTTAAAAGTTTCCATATTTACCTTACAGACTATATTATCCCATCCTATATTATTTCCTCTCAGTCTCCTTTGCTCCCTTCCTCCTCTCTGTACCTCTCTCTACCCTCTCGAGAAGTCACTGTTCTCCAGAGTTCCAGACTTGTTCCTATTGTCTCAACCTTTTCCATCCCTTCAAAACAAACAAGTAAACTTTCTCATATGCTTTTAAATATCTTCCTCTACTCCAGATATTTCCTCTCCACATTCCATATTTCCAAAATTCAGTGTTTAAGATGTGAAAACACAAGAATACAACATATAAAAGATGCTCGCAATACTGCTTGGAGGAAACGTACTACTTAAAAAAAAATGACAGATACAACAAGACTGAGAAGAAGAGGATTTTTAAACCATATTCCTTATGGAAATAAAGTGGTGTGTGCTGAGCCTATTGCTTTCAGTTGACTCACATGATTTAATCCCCAACTCCATCATGATTTAACCATTGTGCTACTCATAAGAACTCATTTTAAACTCTAAGAGGGCCAGGGATTTGGCTGAGTGGTTCCACACCTGCCTTGCAAGTGCAAGGGCCTGAATTCAGTCCCCATTACCAAAAGAAAAGCAAAAAGCAACATTTTAAACTCTAAGGATCATTACCCAGAAGTTTATCAAGCTGAAGTAATAACTGTAGCATTCACCACTACATACTTTGTAGAGTGTGTCATTCGTGGGGTCATTATTGTTCTAGTGTTTCCATCAAAAGGGGCTGAGTAGCTTCTAGCATCTCCATGTAAAGGCTTAAGCTGTTGTATTTTGACACATTCTTGTACTACATTCTCTGCTAACATTCAGTAATATGTGGCTAGTGTGAATAATCACTGAAAGTTCCTTACCTTTTCCCATGAAATTCCATGACTGGTATTGAGTAATATTCTTTGTATCCGAAATCTTCTGCAGATGTTTTAGCAGCACAGGCCCGTATTTTTTCTAAATTGTTCTAAAATATTAATTATGTTACTGAAGCATCTTTGTACAAATCTAAATAATTATGACTTCTTTTATATGAAAATTTATACATTTAAGTGAGAAGATTAAATATAATATTCCAGAAAATTTTGAAAGTTACTTCATGTATCCTATTCCTACTTTGGAAATAAAGGAAAATCACAAAAGAAAAATAATGTAGATGAGGTACAAAAGCAATGGCAGCTGAAGTGTATAATGTTTATAGAAAATTCCAGATGAAGAAATGTTCTCAGACTCTAGAGAGCCTCCTTTTTAGTACTAGTGTTTGAGGAGAGTGGGAGGTTTATAATGAATTCTCAGTCTTTTCTACAACACCCTTTGATTGATGGTTCTAGGGCAAATATGCCTATTAGAAACCCATAAATTTTGTGAGGATGGTGTATATTCCTAGCTTATTCATCACTTTATCCCTGACATCAGCCCAGTTCCTTAGATAGAATTACTCTTACTTCATTTATGTTAAAGTAAAGTGTGAAAAAGTTAGTGAGTTGAGAAGACAATTCTCTGGACACCTGCATAGTGCCCGTTTCGATAGAAGCTCTTTCTGGAAAATAGGAAAATAGAAACTAGGAGAAAAAGACTTGTGAAACAACAAACCATCTCAGAAACAACAATAATGTAAACCTTAAAATCATCCAAAGCATTCTCAATTGAAGGGGTTGTGATATCAAATTCAATTCCTCCATGAACATGAAAATATTGATTCTCTTTGTAGTGAAAGTTCTGGCATTTGAAGTCTCGTCCATAAATAAACGGAGGCAGTTCTCGCTCTGTCTTGACTTTGTCATCTCCCAAAATGAAAACAAACTTTTATTTAAAAAAATGAAGAAATATAAATAATCATATTTTTGAGATCTAAATTATCATTAATGGAAACAAAGTAAAATATTCCACATGAAATTAAGATCTTATTATTTACAGTATATAAAATTTTTATATTCTAAATATACATAATATTTGAACATTAAAAGTATAACAAACAGCACTTTCTTAGTATTTCATCATACAGACATTGTAAAAGTATAGTCAAAACATTATTCTATTGATTTCTATAAATGTGCATAAGATTTAATTATCTTATCTTCAATTATCAGAAAAGACCTGAAATTTTGTGCCTTAGGAAATCTTTGGTTAAATAAACAAAAACCCGAGTTAATTTAGGTAAAAAGACACACTATAAAGAAAGAAGTAGATATATTTTGTATATGAAAAAAATAACTGGCCTATATTTCTGGAAAGTAATGAAACCACACATAAAACATATTTAAAAATAATTTTGTAAAAGCCTAATGAGGATTGTGTTCAATATTTTGACTGGTTAGTAGACATTTTTATGAATATAAGGCATATAATGTATTTGGAGGAATAGAAAAGGTACATAAAAGTATAAGGAATAATGTCATACCCTAATCTGACCATATAGAATTACCTGTTTATACTTAGTCATGTTTGATTTAAACAGTTTATGTAAGAAAACATTAGAGATATGACAATATCCCATTGGCACAGTCCCTCCAAGTACCATACACACACAAACATGCACAAACACACACACATACAAGTACACACACACACACACACACGTGCCACAAACACTATCCTGATTTCATTTACAAATAATTCATAGGTTATAGGGCTAGTCATTACCTCTGAGTTCTCATGTTACAAAATTTCACTATATGATTTGCAAAACTTCTACCAAAATTTTGTCATCTGAATAGGGATTTCATTAGAAGGAGCCTACATGTTTGGATACTGGTGAACTGCGTAAATTGTGTGTTAATCTGGGTAGCAGGAAGAGTTTGCAGTGAAGTCCTATCAAATTCCATAAAAGCAAATCCATTCCATACAGACAGTTCTTGATTCACATACATTGCTCCATGATAGTGCCAATATTCCTTCATTTAATTATTATAGTTTTAATATATTTCAGTTTTTTTTAGAAGAACTGCAAAACCATTTAGTTTGTAAACTTTAAGGAAAAATATGGTATGGATTTTGAATAGAAGTGTATCGAATCTATAGAGTAATTTAGATGAACACAGCACATTTATTTATTTAGAATTTGGGTTAAGTCTTTTAATAGCTCTTATAATTAGCATAAATATACACAAAATGCCATGTGTATGTACCGAATATTTTTAATTACACCAGAAACATTAAATTTGTTGTTATTCTAAAATATTAAAACCCCGGTCATACATACTGGACAAAAATTGACGTTAGATATGCATTTATTATATACATAATACTAGTTTATATTTGATTTTGGGTGATATCCTACCTGAAAAAGGAGGAAGCAGGCTATTTAAATATGGGATTTTCATTTTCTTTTTCAAACTTAGTAAGAGTGGAACAAGAAAGCATATCAACTTTAGATAGCTTATCCCTCTTCTGATTTCTTTTTTCTTCTCGAGGTGTTTTTGAATAACCTTTTTTTGAAGATATAATCTTTGTTGTAGTCTCTGATAGGTACAAATATCAAGGTAATCCTGAGTAGATTTTATAGCATTGGTAAGCCAATAGGCTGCTTCAAATATAAAGACATTTTCACACTGTTGAAGTTGTATGGTGCTGAACGTCAATTTCAGCAGAATATTTTCAGCATATTTCATAAATACAGCTTTTTCTTCGGGGCTATTGGGATTATATGTTGGATTTTCATTCATGTCTTCATCATAGATTCCATTGAAGTCTGGATCCTGTGTAATATCAACCAACCCTTCACAGTAAAAAAGAAAAATTTTATACAGTGAAAGCTTCATACTTGACTTCCTTCTGGATAAATATGGCAGACTGAACATAGACTTTTATTGCAAAATCTTGCTAGGATTACATTTTTGAAAAACAATGAGACATAATAAAATAGTGTAAGATGAAAAGCAGATGGGTAGTCTACGAAGCAGAGAGAAGAAAGATAAAAACCAGTAGAATTAAAAATATACATATATTTTCCTTGACTAATTCCTCTAAGAGCTATTCTTTTTGGCAGAAAGAAACATAAAAACATGAAAATATGATAATCTAAGTCCCATTTTTTTTCTGGTGCCAGGGATCGAACTCTGAACCTTGCACTTGTGAGGCAGGTGCAGCACCACTGGGCTAAATCCCCGGCCCCTAAATCCCATTTATAATAAAGAAAAATATGGAAGGGCAGCAAGAAGGTGTGACATCCCCTTAACCAGTGAATCAGCTTTTTCTTTGGGTAAAAATATATATTTTGCTTTTTCAGGCCTAAAATTACAAATTTCTTTTTGTTAGTAAGGGAAGCTAAACATATGCAATAAAGTAAGAGCCTTCTGGTGAATTAATCATAATGAAACAAGAATTAAATATTTTGAAAAATATACTTTGAAAAATGACACCTTTCCTATGTTCTATTTTCTTGCCATTTACAATGAAAGTAGGGACTTTCTTATCAAATTGTCCTCTAAAGACAGTTACATGTGCATTTCCTTCAACCTAAATGCGAGAAAGCTCTGTGGACTGACAAGGTACGACTTTGTACAAGAAAATGCAGAGTTTGAGACCCATGTGCTTTAAAGTGTAAATGACACATCGGCCCCAACCTTCTTTTTCCCTTTTCTTCTTCAATTTGTATAAAAGGCTGAAAGCTCTTGGGTTTTTAGAAAACAGCACTGTAAGTGAGTTATGGACATAAAGAGATCATAGAGGAATGAAAGTGATTCTGACATCTTACTCTAGCAGATGTCTGATATCACTAAAACTTTTTGGTTCTCTGCGAAACGGGTACCACAGCATCCCAAGAAGGCTTAGAAATTGGAAGCCCCACAGGGAACCCAGGAAGGTCATGGTGTGGCACAAAGGCAATGATTAAAAAAAATAATAAATAAAAGGCCTGGTTCAAAGTCTGAGGAAAGTGCAGATGGACCTCCAGATTGTCCTCCTCAGTATCACAGCTTCGCTCCTTTCCTCACTAAAAGCTGCAAAGCCCCGCTGAGAACCTGGAGGAGCTCTTGTGCGGAAAGGGAAAGGGAGCCACAGAGTGTTAAATAGGGAGAGCACAGCCCCTTCCACTCCTTTGGCCCCAGATTCATTGCTTCCTTCCAGGAAGGAGACTGGAGCACACAGACCAACTGAAGATAAAAGACGAGAGATGTGTGGAAGGTGTGGTGGACAAGCTCCCCAGTGACACGTCAGGGTTTCCCCTGACCCCCAGCATCCGCTGTGCTACACAGGGAAATGAGAACAGAAGGACTCGCAGACAGGGAGGAAGCCCTCGGATGAGAAGGCGAGGTGTGGTGGGGCGGAGAGAGCGCGAGCAATTGTTCCCACAGCGGGGGAGGGGGTGTCAGGAGCGACCTCCTAGGTACAGAAGGGACTCGCTATTCTATGGACAGGGGCTCCACGTTTCTCTTCCGACACCTGGTACTGAATTAGTATTAAGAATATGGAAAACTGAGCTACTTAAAAAAAACATTAAAAAGTCACGAAAGGAAGTATGATCATATATAAATCAGCCGGGAAAAAATGCTAACAGTCAGTAAATAATTAAAGCAGTTTCAACCAAAATCGGATAAAACTAACTTTGGAGGAGGAGGGAGAGGAAACAACGCTGCAATGTTTAATTTGTATACTAACTTCCGTTCATCTCATCTCCTGCCCTTGCTTTTGCTGCTGAATGCTAGCTTGTTTCTAAATGCCCAATAAATATCTTTGCCTGAATGACACAGAAGCACTTCGAACTAAATTCGCACCCCCTCTAAATCTGCTTTGCTTTTATTCTCTCAGAGTAAATGGTTCTATTTAAGATCGTCTCTCAAACAAGAAACTGAAAAGCGTCCTTTGATTTGTTATTAACTATCTAATTTCTACATGTCCTGAAAGTTCACTACATGCCAACCACTTAAGAAGGTACCGAGAATTTAAAACAACACCGACAATTTTCTGTGCAAGTTTGAGATCTAGTAAAGAAGATAAAGACGAAGCCAATAATTTCAATATAGGATGCAAAGTTTTTTTCTCTGTGTCCAAGTACAGTGTGTACAGGTAAGAGTCCTAATAGGCAATGTCTGAATCATACGAACGAAAGTCAGCAGCACTAACCCAGGGAAGAGTGTCAAAGAGTTGGGTGAGGCAGACAGACAGAAGGGCATTCCAGATGGAGGACAGGAAATGAACAGAGGCATAAAACACACCCATCCCACGTTACCAGTTTGAGATTGAATAAGCCCCCTTCCCGTTTCAATCAGGGCTCCCTTCCCTCATTTTGCTGTCATGAGACGTTTTGCTCTTTCCATCCATTACCCAAAGTTCTTATAGTGCTCTAACGGTCCAAGAATTTTTCAGCTCAAGAGCTGTACACCAATTAAGATCCTTTCTCAGAAAACTGGGTAATATGTCCAGATTTTTGTTGAGCTCTAGCAGTAGAGATACTGCTGTTGCTACTATGTATTTTTTTAACAAATGATGCTGCTGGTGGATTTGTATGATGTAAAGTTGAGGGGTAAAAGTTACCTGGCCAAGGCTGGTTTTCAGTAGTCTGCCCTGCCAGAAAAGGAGTTGGCACCGGTCGTTGGAAACCCACTCTTGCACGGAGTTGAAGGCATCCCATGGTCAGTGGCAAGGTCTGCACCTGGTTTTCCTGTGATATCACAGAGGAGCTGCCGACTTCCCAAACATGACAGACACCTGAGCGGGCAGGCTGCATGCTTGCCACCAGACCGCTGCAACCACAAGGCTTTCGTGCCAGCTTCCCGGTCATGCCATTGGAGACCAGGGTGCGTCCTCAGCCTCTAACAGCAGGTGAAGGTGCTTTAAATTCCCAGGAGTAACACTCTGCATCAAATAGCGTTTGTTTATATCACACATCCTTTCAGACCACATTTGAAAATTCTGATTGTCCCGTCAACTACCTTTCACACAAGTACAACCTGACTGCACCTTGCCGCAGATGCACCACGTGACTCTTATTTTTGTCCTGGGCTTCTCTGCCTCCGCTGTGTTGGAGTCCTGAGGGGACCCATCAGCCTTTCTGACGCATAAACACAACTGCAAGCATGAGAGAATCCCCCCAATTCCATGCAGACTTTCACCAAGGGGGGACAGGAGGCAGTGGGCACACACACTCCTGCCTTCCATTCTGCCTTAATTCATCTGGACTCCTATGGCAAAATGGCTCAGAATGGAGAGCTTTTAAACATGGAAGCTTATTTTCTTACAGTTACGGAGACTAGGAAGCCCAAATCAAGACAGATTTAGTGTCAAGTGACCCAGGTTCATTTCCTGGTTCATCGATGGTGCATTAAGTGTCACTAACTACTAAAATGATGTCTTATTTACATTTTATGTTACCTGAGAGACTCTTGGCGTTCCTATACTCCTGGCAGGGACAGCACTTCCGGGTGAAATTTAACATATTTTAAAGACCTTGTCCATGCCACATTCTCTTCTCCAGGGCATTACATGATGACAAAGTTTCAGTGGCCGTGAGGGGGAACTACCAGACCAGTCAACAAATGCAAAAAGTAACGGAGCTCACTGGATATTACTGGTAATATTTTGTGCTTTTTGACCCTCATCACCCTAATCAAAGACCCTTTCCCCAAAACACAGGGTTCATTAGATTCCAGTTACAGCTGTAACCTTTTACAGTTCAAAGACTCTCAAATCCCAGGAGGCTCACACCCAGCCAGATGGCATTAATGCCTACTTCAGCAACACCACTCGAGTGGTTCTCTCCCGGGAAAGGGAGAATTTCTTTCTTCCTTATATCTACTAGACTTAAAATCTTCTCTAACAGTGAAAGCTAACAGCTATCTAAGCTGTCGCTGAGACAAGGAGACACCACCTTCAAGAGACTGAACTGCTTTTAAGTACACCAAGGCTGCAGAACACATTGTGTTGCCTGAAACAACACATCTGGAAACCCAGCTGATAGCAGCGGAATTCCTTCCTGTCATCAAACATTCTCAAGCATTTGAAGTTCATAGCAAGCAAGGCACAAACACAGCCAATAGCATAGGTAGCAAACAAATACTTCTGTATTTCAGGTCCCAACAGATTCAGAGGCATTCAGTGGTATGTAGTCCTGGAGGTGGGGGGTTGGGAATGACAACCCAATTGTCGCCGTGGAGCCTAAACACCTGGAGATACTGTACCTGGGAATATTCAGAACCTCAAGCATGATCTACAGGAAACGTTAGTTGTTTGTCCCTGTTGTGACACCCTCTAATATAAAAGTAAGTACCTGTGACACCCTAGCTGAGGGGCTGCTCCTTAGCTAACACACAAGCTAGGTTTATTCTCCAATCTCATCCACTGTAGTGACAGACACCCACTAAACATGTGAAACACTCCTTCCTCGTGGAATGATTTGTTGATTCAACTCAATTCATTTAATGCAATTAAACAAATTTTTGCTCATGCTCAAGTATTATGTGTCAGATACTGTGTAAACAAGGCAAGTAAGGGCCGTATTTTCATGGACTTTGTACTAAAGTATTTGTTTACCTGTTTTTTGCCATTTGGACTTATTTCTATGTGTTTGCAAAAAATAAACGTTCAACTAATATTTATATAAAATGAATAAATAAAGTGGGAGTCCATTATACATATGTAGATGTATAATTTTTTTTTTTTTGGTACTGGGGATCGAACTTGGGCCCTTGAGCTTGCAAGGCAGGTGCCGGAACCACTGAGCTAAATCCCTGGCCCTAGATGTATAATTTTTGATTTGCTATCAATGACAGAGAAAGAAAAGAGGTAAGATAACAACCCCATGAAATGAGCTTATCACACTAATTGCACTACATGTTCTAATGATTATAATTCTTTGACATTGTAGTGAGAAGCTAAGAAACAGTACATTTGCTTTTCAAAATATTTTCTCTAGTATACAGACCTACACTGATAAACTACAATTTTTTTTTCAGATAATCGTTTCCTAATTACATGTCCAATTCAAGTAAAAGTTCATTTCCACATGATTTACCATTTAAAATCTTCAGGATCAGCTCTGGTTAGCCAAGGGGAATCTGGCTACTTAGGGGAGAATATTAATCCTTTCCTGCATCAGTAAGTTTATGCAAAAAAACTCTCTATATTAAGATGACATAAAAATGAACTGAAAATTGAAATTATTTTTTAATATCAAACTAGAAATAGACAGCCAATTAATATGTACTACAGTTAAAATAGCCAAAAAAAAAAAAAAATCTGGGTATCACTTTATTCTTGAAGGGTGAGTGGTCATGTTTACCAGTTTCAGATGTGATAAAATATCAACTTGCTCTCTCCACCAATCAAAAGAAATTCCAACACAGATCTACAAAAATCAAGATTGATTTTTTAAGTCTGTGCCGATACCGCAAATCAATTTAGGCAGTTACTAGGTATATTTGATAACGAAAGCATTAGGCAGTACTGCATATCTGGAGTACACATATCCTGTTTCACTCCTCACTCTACCTGGCCTGCTGCAAAGATAACATGGGAAAGTTTTTTACAGCTTTGAAAAATGAGGTAAGCAGCAAGACTTAGTGACAGCTGTTGTTTCCACATTGAGGCTATAGGGAAGTGTAACCTTATTGAGGGAGGGAAATTCAAAATTAGGTGAATGAAGAATACAGGCTCATGAAGCCAAAAGCTACTAAAATTCCAAGACCTAGATTGCTAATGCATGTTCATCCTTAACTTCAATTCTTGTAACATTCATTTTTTGTTTGTTTTGAGGCTTATAAAAATCTGCAATGTGGAAAGCAAACCAGTCTGGTAATCATTTTGTTTCCAAGTTTGGAGATTTTTTTTTTTCATTGCCCCTCAATTCTACTCTTTTCTTGGACATACACTCATTTTTCTGTGTAAGCTCTATAAAATAAAAAGGATAAACTGAAAACTCTTTATTAGGTAGTTTGGAATCTGATCTGTTCTGCAGAAATTGGAGATTAAAATGAAAGAGGCAAGATGCTTGATTTAAAATTTTTGGTGGCATTTTTTTAAAAGCTAGTTTTATTAAAAAGATTTCTTGAGGTTTAAAGAAAACCTCCCTTTAGAAGTGATGGCTAAATTTTGAAATTTTTTATCAAGAAAGATGGCTATATAAATCCAGGCACAGATAAATTACTTTTAAAATTAAAAAGTGGCTTTTAATAAAAATAACTGAGAAGGGCTAAATTCTCTTACCTGCTGAACTAAACTCTGCAAAAATGTCTTTATTTGTTTGAGGCTTCCCATCTGGATCAATGTCCAAGATGGTACGCCACATTTCAGAGAACCTGGTTCGTTTTTCTTTGGGCATGTATATTCCATGCCATAGAGCTTTCAACATGTAGTCAATATGGATCAGAATTTGTCCAATTCTGGTATCAAAATAAGCTGGAGGTAATTGACAAGAAGAACTCTGATCATAATTAGCTTCTAAACTGATTGAAGGAATTTGATTTAAGCAATAAATTCCAACAGCCAACTCCCTTATGATCTGATGAACTTCTCTGTAGTCTAAGAGGGCGGTAGGGTCCACAGGCATCAGCAGGATCGCAGTAGAGAAACCTACATTATTCATTTGACTCATAATTCCACTTGGGAACTCTAGTTGAGAGTGCCCATCCTCTTGTGTCGATAACCAGCTGGCTAACGCCGTAGTTATTAACTCTTGTATCTCATTTCGATCATAATTTTCAAAGAAAGCAGAAGCATTTCTCTGTACTGCTAAATTTTCAAGATAGGTTTGTTCATCTTGAGCTTGATCAAAAGGTAATCCTTTTTTGGACAATCTTAACATTTTCACTGGAATCTAGTATGTCCCTTTTCTGCAATGGATTAAAATAAAAGACAAGTAATAAAAATGGACAGTATCATTAACCTTAATTTCCCTAGAGATAAATCTATTTTTTTCTTTGTGTAAGGTCAGTGGACTATTGCATTTTTTTCAATCTTAACAAGTTGCTGCATAGGCTGAGATCACATCCCATGGAGTACTTTGCCTAGTGATACAGTAACAGCTTAGTTTGCATAAATACATTCTGTAATGTTTACACGATGAAACAGCCTAATGTGCTTCTCAGAATGTGTCCCTATTGTTAAGTAACATGTGACTGTATTTAAAAAAAATGTTTATACATGAGAAGCAACTGCTGTATACCTGCAATATTACTTGTTGGAGAGGCTTTTTTTAGTGCATACCTCTTTGAAGTTTGAGAGAAAATAAGGACTGGCTTAAAGGAAAGACAAGAAATACTGGTTTAACTTTTTTCTTTTCTTTTTTGTTTTTGGTGGTGCTGAGGTTCCAGCCTAGGGGATCACAGATGCTAAGTGAGTGCTTTTATCACTGAGCACTATTCCCCTGACCTTCAGTGTTTGTGTAACTAAATACGTCTATGTTCCCCGAGTAATAACCATATTACCATTTGTTGAACATCTACTATTTGCCAGGCACCTTATACGTCCATTTTTGCTTATTTCATGTAATAGTCCTACACGATATAGTGGTTCTCAAAATACAGTCTATATTAAAATCACCTGGTACTTGTTAAAAACTGCTTCTTGTTGGATTCTATCCCAGAGTGTTTGATTCAGGCAGCTGGGGTGGAAGAGAGAATCTGCGTTTCTGCAAGGTTACAGGTGCTCCGACCCTGCTAATCCGGACGTCACGCGTGGGGAACCCGGACCACCGAGGTAGACATGGTTCCACCCACTGCGTGGACGCAAACGCGGATTTTACATGGCGCGTCTTGCAGAATCACAACCTAGTGTCACACTCAAGCCCAAGACCATGATCACACCAGCTCGTGTCTGCCATGGATTCGGGAGTGGACGGGGAAAGGGGAAGCCTACTTTGAAATGATCGTTTTCTTGTCTAGGACAGGGAAGCTGCGGCCCCTGTGGTCCTTGGGGGCCCGGGACAGTCACCGCTCAGAGCAGCCTCTCGCTGCCCCTCGGCGGCCTCCGCTAGGGGCGAGGTTCCGAGTCGTTGGAGGGGGGGGTTGGGGGGACCCGTGCCTGGACTGGGCCAGGCGGGAAGACCGCGTGTCCTCCTGCAGCTAACAACCGCTGGGCTCCCCAGGCCCTTTGGAACCCGCCCAGCCTCAGGCAAGTCCGAAGCTGACATCGCACCTTCATCGCTCTTTCATTTGATACATATTTATGGAACTCCAACTGAGGCAGGCAGGATGTCAGAGGTCCCAGAAAACAGGGCAGAGAGAACTCCAGGAGCTTTACAGCTACACACAGACGACCGAATGGGCATATTTACCAAGGCGACAAAAAGAGGATGGAATGGCAACAGCGTAAAAAAGCTCACCGTGACCAGGGATTCGAAGAGGCTGCCTGAGGAAGAGACTCTTAAACTGGGCCTGGAAGATAAGAAAGAGCAAGCAAAAATTGGAGTAGCTTTTCAGAGACAGCGAACAAGAACTGAAGGGAGAAAGAAGTCTCAGGAACACACAGACCCTTGGAGTTATCTCCAAGCGGAGGGACGAAAGCCGTGCAGGTAGAGTCTAAGTCTGCTTAACACTGTCACCAGGGAACACGTTCAGGGCATGGGAAGCCCATGAAGGCTCTGGTTGTGAGTGCCTTCAACTCTTTCCTATTAGGATTAAAAGAACCAGAGTGCGGCCAGGTCGACAGGTGTCAGCTCCAACTGGAGACAGGTCCCAGGTGGGTGTGGTGGTTAGCAGTTGAGTAACGCGAGCAGATGCCAGCTTGGAGTGAGGCCGTGAGTGGAGGGCAAGCAAGATGCGAGGATGCAGGACCAGGGACGTGCATTCTAAATCGGCATAGAGTACAGCATTGCAAAATGGTGGCAGGAAGGATGTCTGAAGAAGAGGCTAAGATGCCACAGAGGAGTAGAAAGGTCCTGAAAAGCAAGATAGGGTAGGGTCCTGTGTTTCAGGTTGCTGTTATACAATACCCGAGATGACAAAAGGAGAAAAGGCAGACCTATTTTGGCTCAGTTTCAGGCTCCAGGCCCTGGTTACTCACCCTGTGCACTCGGGGCTGTGGCAAGGCAGTGAGTTGTGGCAGGAAAGCTGCTCATTGCAGTGTGGCAAGCAGCAGAGGGGAAGGGACCAGGGCCCGTGTCCCTTCAAGGGCACAGCATGAATAAACGTCCGTTCCTTCCTTCCACTAGGCCCCCACCTCCTACAGGGTCCAGGCAGTGTCTGCTGGACCCTGGCACAGAGGAGCCTTTGGGAGACAAAAGGCAGTGTGATCAGGCAGCAGGAACTTTCCCCTTCCCAATGGCAAGAGAATGACGCCAGCCACAGGTGAGATGGACATTATGGTGTGGGAGACACCAGGGCACGTTCACGCACACATGCACACACATACACAAAGACCATGAGGGGACACATAGAGCAGGGAACCACCTGCAGCCCAAAGAGAGGTCAGGAAACAACCCTGCCTGGATCTTGGACTTCCAGCCCCCAGAACTCGGAGAAATATATTTGTTGTTCAAAGGAAAAAGTTCAAGCACAGTGACACGACTGTAAGTCCAGCACCCCGGGAGGCTGAGGCAGGATCACAAATTGGAGCCCATCCTGGGGAATTAAGACTGTATCTCAAAATTAAAAGAGGCTGGGGTACAGCTCAGTCCAAAGGCCCTGGGTTCAATCCTCAGCTACCCCCCCACCCAAGTTCTTATACAGGGAAGCAGCTCTTGACCTGATGGCTTTGCTTTCTCTGGAACAAAGAAGGCAATAGATTTGTGGGACCAAATGTTTAAAAGTTTTTAAAAGTTCTTAAAGTAGGGGGCCTGGGGTTTAGCTCAGTGGTATCCTCACCTGCCTCACAAGTACAAGATCCTGGGTTCTATCCCTGGTACAAAAAAGTTCTTGAAGTAGGAAAATGAACTGTTTAAACAAATGTACTAAGTATTGCCCAGGAATGTGAGTGAAGTATTTAGCTTCTCAAAACAGTGTTCTTGTCTGTCAAGGTCCTGTGTAAACTAACATCCCTGATAGTAAAAATAACAAATATCTAGATGTAGCTACCATGATGTTAATGTGGGAAACCACTCTTAATTTTTCTACCCTCTCATACACTTCTAAGACCAATCGACTCTGTCTTAGAACAGCACCTGGATGTTCAACAATTTGATCCAACTTGACTTTATGTGCCTGGAATTAGTGTCAGATTCCATGACTAAAGACTCGGTCCCACAGAGCTGCCCTCACTTTAAATGCCAACTTCAAATTGGAGTTTCTGGTACTTCTGACCAACCAGCTACAAATTGGGGTGCCTTCAACTTTGCTAGACTGGCCTATTGAAATGTGAATTCTGTAAATACTTTAATTTACTGATTTATCATAAAGGATACAGCTCAGGAACAGCTGGGGAGAAAACACAGGCCAAGGTATTTGGGAAGTGGGAGAGCAAAATGTTTCCATGCACACCCTGGGCAGGCAGCCGTCCTGGTAAATCCATATGTTTAGCAAACTAGAAACTCATGAAATCTTGTAAAAGTTTTCACAGATCTCCACTGCAATTAATCTCCTGCCCATCCCACAAGTCTGTACATGGGGCTGACATGCCAGCCCTCTTAATGACTTGGTTTTTCTGGTTCTTAGCCCCGTCCTGAGACTGTCTAGGGAATCCCACTATGCTACATTAATCTCAGTGTAGTCAAAAGGCATTCACTGTAACAAGGCACTGTTATCACTTAGCAAAGTCCAAGAGTTTTAGAAGCTTTGACACAGGAAAAGTAAAAATTCACCCAATGAACTTTATAACCACTACAATATACAATAGCAAAGCAGTGGGGTATTTTATTTTTATATAACTGTCATTCAGTAAATACTGTAACACTGTGAAATCATATCATGATTTAATCTCCTTTTCCTAAGAAAGGTTTTCTAAGGAAATGACTTGGAGCCTTCCACATTTGTCAGATGCCTTTTCCTTATTATTTTCCAATTTTGCAATTCTGGATCCAAACTGCATGGCCCGTTTTGGCAGAAGGGCAGCGTCTGTAAGACCAAGTTCCACAGCTGCAAGACGTAAAATTAGCTTTTCACCAATTCCCCGGGGTAAAGTCAAGTTTGCTTTTTCCCAGATGGGTAAGGAATTTAGAAAGGAAACAACATTTTCATCCAGGAAAGGAAATCTAAAATAAATAGATAAAATAACTACTATATGAACATAAATTTACATAATTTTACATAATCTTACGTAAATACATTACAAGTGTTTCACAACATATGACAGTATATATGTTAGAAAATAATTTTAGAATAAATAAATTAGGTACATGATGTCAAGGAAAAATTTCAAATTGTTTCACAAGATAACTTTGGGGATGCCTTGAAATCAGGTATGACCTTGGTTAACTACAGAATCTGATCTGAATCTGGTCTCTGTCATGTCTAAAGAAACTGAACTTTCTTTAGGGATAGGAAATGAATATAGAAGGCCTCTATAATCTTGGATTTATAAAACACTAACTTGTGCTATCAAAACTGTTTAATTACACTTTAAAATGCTCAAATAGTGACAAATTGGTATGAGAACAAAATACTAGATTTAAAAAGAAATGACTTTCTGCCTTTTTTGCTTCCCTACTTTCTCTCAAAACTCTTGTTTATAAGACTTTAATCCCTTTCTTTCCCTCTCCATTTCCTCAGAATGCAACGCAGTTACACTAGTGTTTCATTACATTTCATTCTGGCTCAAGTATAAAGAAAAAGGCAAAGGATAAAGAAATTTATTCTATAGGATATTTTATAATAATGAAGTACAGTAATTGTACAAATATTCATCAAATAGATTGCTGTTATTATGGACACATAACAAATTATTTAAAGCTAACCACTCATATCAGCTGTTTTAAACAACCTTCATATGCATTTTTATCTGAGTGCTACAATACCTTAATACGGGGCCTTTAGAACAAACTGTTTTCACTAGATGAAATAAATTCCTTTCTCTTTAACCTAGCTGAACAACGGACTAAGTTTCTCTCATTCTTTCTTTTCCTACCCTCTTGGACTTTCTCACACCCTTCAAAGTTCTTCCTTTATAGACTTCGTAGTGTGTACCTTACAGTGTATGTATTTATAAAGAAATCTTGAAAACTATGACAATATTGACACTAGCAGTCTTGGCAATATAAGAATGACAAGTGTGTAAAAGACAACCATGATTCCATGAAAAAAGAAAGAGTGAAGTAGACAGGAAACAGCGAAGTCTGACAGCTAAGTGGTTATGATGCTGAGATTCCTGTGAGCTTACTTGGACTCGACTCCTTGTCCTTGCACACTTGTACCTCTTTTTTTTGGGGGTACCAGGGATCAAACTTGAGTCCTTGAGAGGCAGGCGGTGGAACTACTGAATTAAATCCCTGGCCCCACTCTTGTACATTTGTAATAAACTACCACTTCACAATTGTTAAGCAGTTCTCCTCTTTATACACCATCAGCCTTCATCCTTAATGTCTAAAAAAGCTTTATTCAAGTACTTATTTACTACCATCAAAAATATGTTGCGGGCAAAGCATAAAACTCCTGAGGTGCCAGTCTGTAACACTGGAGGAGAAAGCCTGGACTAATATAGTACTCTCTCTCTCTTTTTTTAAAACACAGTACTCTTATTGGGAGGAGAGTAAATACTTAAAACCATACCCTTTAAATACCTTTTCTTGGTATTATATTGTCACACTTTTACAGTCTTTCATTGTAGTCTTATAAACAACCACAATATTCTATTAACACGGGACATTAATGAAAAGACATTTCTTAGAGAATGAGTTCTGGAAAACAACTGCTCCTCTGGCTCCTCCTTCCTCTGCTTCTGTGTTTATAATCATAAAGGTACAATATTATTGCTGCACCAGTTATTCATGTGAACAGACTCCAAAGAAAAAGCTTAGAAAGAAAAAGCTTAGAAAGTCCTTTTAAAGCCTAATGTTTTTACTAAAAAACCTTAGAAAACAATAAATGAGAATTACCTTGCCTCCTTGCCATGATCAGCAATAACTCTGTCATCACGACCAAGATTTCTAGAAGAAATCCGACCCAGCTCCATTGCTATTTCCTCATTCAATGCTTTTAGTCCAAGTGTCTGAAAGCGGACACGATGACGAGAATAACCAGCAAGCTGTTCATCTGCACCAATGCCTGTGAGAATAACCTACAAAAGTTTAAGGAAATCCATATAAAAAGACCTACTATATAATGAAGAAAATAAAAGCTTAAAAAAATTAAACCTAAACTGTAACATTTTTGGAGAAAAACTATAAGATCAGAAAATAGTAAATTATGCCCATTTTAAATAAAGCATACATTATATTTATAATTTAAATGCAAATAAAATATGCTATATTCTCGGAACTTAAATGCTAATAGCCTAGAGGGTCAAAATTAGGCCTCAGAAGTTTTTCAGAGCAGAAATACTGGGCAATACCTTTGCACTGCTCTGATATGATTTCGTTCCATCCTGGGTTGCTAAGCAACCGATCCCTCTAGAAGCAAACCAGACCGCACAGCCAATGCTGTCATCCAACACTGTGTCCAAGGGCTGAACCAAGTGACGAATTTGAGTTCTTCTTAGCTTTTGCAGTTCTTCCAGAGAAACATTAATTTCAACAAAATTCCAAACTCGAGATGGGTTGATAGTTTGCAGTTCCTTTAGTCCGGCTCTTCCTGTGATTCTATCTGGGACATTATCATCAGGACTGTCACCATCAACAGCACCAGCACTCTCAGAGAGTTCTTTAGAAGGCATTTCACCATAATCTTTCTGATCTTGCCTTCTATTAAAGCTACTTGGCACAGTCTTTTCTTTCACCATGAAAGCTACATTAAGAAGATCAATTGGTTCATCTAAAGGGATATGACGATCAGCAAGGGCTGCAATCACCATGGAATCAATGCCTCCCGAAAACAGAAATGCAACATTTGCTTTCCTGTAGCAAGTTTTCAAAACTTCATTTGGTGTCAGGCTTTTGTCTCTCGACAAATACAAGACACGTCTCTTGACTGCGGTACTCAAGACATCAATGAACTGGTGGACTACTTTCTTCATGTAACTGTCTGTAAGAAAGACCTGAAGTGTCTCTTTGGTAGATGGAATATTGGATATTTTTTTGCTCTGAGTTTCCAATCGAGCGTGTGGCATCATCATATTTAAAGGAACAATAGGTTTCTCAAGATACAGTTTGGCCTTGTTCACCACCACTGATACAAAAGTTGGTAAGTCTGGTGAAATTTGAGTGAGGGCGTTAACACATTCTTCAATAACATTCTCCCCAGAAATATGTTTCCAAGGATAAAAGTATAAAGTCACACATTTGGAATTGGCCGCAGATTTTAGATCAATTCTGAAAATCCCAGCTGCTGGAACTTCCTGCCACTGTTTTGTCCCTCCAGGTGCCTGGGTGCCAACTGAAGAGATGCAGAAACTCTTGCTTAAATTACTAAACTGCCAAAGCAGGCTACGGCGACCAAAAAAATCCCTACCAAACCATAAGTAATGACTAGATGCTTGATAATATATAAAAGACCAAGGACCCTGTACTTCTGAGAATAGTAACGAAATATCAGATTCACTCTTACAAGTGGAAAGATATTTAAACATAATATGAGTATCGTTCTCTTCAGTTTCAATCTTTACTCCACCAAAGACTTCTCCATTCCATAGGAATACATCGCCTCTTTCATCTTCCACAGGCTGGGCAGTCAAGACACCTCTCAAGTGAAGGACATGACCAGAAAATAAACACTGGTAGTTACCATTAGATTTTAATATCTGTTTGCCACTGTCAGGTCCCCGCCGTTTCAGATTATATAGTAAATCTTCTTTTAAATCTTTCTTAAAATGCTCAACAGAAAAGCTTACAGAACAACAAATGCCGCACATTGTTCTACGAAATCAGGGTGACTATTTCTTGATTTTAGTCTTCTCTAAGTTTTCTATTTCTTGGTATTCTTTTTTCAATTCATCTAAGACATCTGTGGGAGAGAGAAAGAAAAATATTAAGTAAAATACAGATGCTTGGAGTTTTATCTATGAACCCACAGGACAACACAGGCTATTGAGCAAGATTAAACCATATTAGTTGATGTACTGTGCTGGTGCTGGTAATAATTTATAACGGGCTACCAACAAAGAATGTTGGTCTTTTAGAAAAAATAGTTCCTGTTCACCGAGTGCTTATTCCGGCCCAGAAAAATCTTTAAGGCCTTGGACTCAAAGTATTTCACTCAATGCCACAAAGACAGAAAATAGTATAATGGTTTTTATATTTAGAGCTGTCATTCTTAAGCACATGCTAATCTTTTAACACATCTTATAGGGATTTTTTTCCTATTGACTCCTCTTTGGGAGGCTAACATATATCACTATTAATCAGTAGACAAATATTTAAACATTCAGAGATAGGCAGTTTAATTGAGGTACTATGAATTTCCACAGAAAGCAGGTGAAGAATTTTCTGTGCCATCCCATACCAAATGCTGAAAAAACAACAACAACAAAAAACACACCAAAAAAAAAACCCCAAAAACCAAACAAACTTACTTTTTCTTTCAGAAAGCATTTCTGTTCGGTCTGCAAGAAAAAATATGTTGCTGTTCTGTTGCTGACTATATACTTTCTGCAAAATAAATTTAGGCTATTATCAAGATCTGAGCTAAAAAGAAGCAGACGTCCAAATTGTTAAACTTCAGAAATACATATTCAGAACAATACTTTAGCAAGTACAGATAAATAAAAGACAAATAAAAGTTATCTGTTATCCTATTACCCAGAAATCGCTACTAGTCACACTAAATTATAACTTTTTCCCCCTCTGCATATACCATTTTTCTTTTAACAAAAAAGGATCCTACCATATCTATAGGTTTTTAATTTAGTTTTATAATTGAACAACATAGTAAGAATACTTTTATTTATTTATCCATTTATTTTTTTTGGTATTGGGGATTGAACTCAGGACCTTGTGCTTGGGAGGCAGGTGGCGGCACCACTGAGCGAAATCCCTGGCCCTGAGAATACTCTTTCTTATCAGTAAGTTCTTTTACATTACTGAATGGGTAAGGAGGTACACTATATCATGGTTTACTTGGTCAGCCCTCAAATTTTAGACTTTAAAGTGTTACCAACTCTTCACTATTGTAAATGAACCTTGTGATGAACATCTTTGTGACTGAATTTTTGTGCACACTCATCACTGCGTCCTGTATATCAATCACTATAAATGGAATTAGTTACTGGCTCCAAGCGTTATACAGTTTTAAGGCTCTGATACATTTCGCCAATTGGGCCTCCAGAAAGTCTGTATCTGCCAAACTTTGAATATTCCAAAGTGACAATATCAAAATTGCCTATTATCACATAATCTTTAGACTGCTTTAAAGTGTTCAAAATCAAGTTTTTCCAGATCTTTAATATGTGCTTTTCACAGTAAAACTACACATGAAGCAGCAGCTTGTGATTTATGAATAAAGTGATGGAAATGGCATTATATAGTCATATTTAACATTTAGATTTATCTAAAACTATTTTGGGGACAGGGAAGTGATTTATCCTTCTTTGTTTGACAATTACCCACATCATTTAAAAAAGTAGTTTCTTTTCATTTCAATATATTTAAAGTTCATTATTTCAGAAGAAATTATCAAATTCAAGTACAAAGTTCTATTATTAATGATTATAGTTCCAAGATACCAAGGTTCAATTAATATTATGTTTTTCCAAAGATAACATGAATAGTATATGGCAAAGAAAAGACATTTTCAAATATGAGATCTACCTATTATTACCAAGAAAGAAAAAAAAAGAAAGAAAGGCAGGCAACCAAGCAAACTAGGTACTTCATGACTACACTTTTAAAAGATGCTGAACTCTTATAAAATTCAGTATAAATATAATTCTTAGAACTTTAATATATAAGTAATATAAGTAACCAAACCACACACACATTATTCAGAAATCCTTTAATAACTTACCCTATTCTTCTTCAAGTTAGAAAGTTCATCCACAATAATTTTCTGTTCTTTAATCTACTGAAATAAAGGGGGGAAAAGCCTTAAATCAGAGGTTTTCAACGTATGCTCAATAAAGATCCTTTATAGTTTTAAAATTAGGGAGCTGGGATAAGGGGCTATCATATGTTGATTATCAACAGACAGCCTGTGAATACAGATTCGTTTGAATAGCAGTCTGTGTACGTATACACAGGCAAGGGAAAGCTGGAGGAGGAAAGACTTATTATGCAACCATGGAGGAGAGACGGGTGTGTGTGTGTGTGTGTGTGTGTGTGTGTGTGTGTGTCAGTGTTCATAATCAGAGTTCAGGCCAAGGACCATGGTTACTAAACATGGTTTATATCTTTTACTAAAAATAATGCAGTTTCCAGAAGTAATACCAATCTTTCAATTGTTTTACGCTGTGGTCTACTTTTCTTTTCAATTACCAGTGGTTTTCATGATTCATGCAATAAATATTACAGCTTGATATTTGCCATCAAGCAAATAGTTCTAAATGCTTTACCTGGGGCAGTAAAACCTATCACTTGCCACCTTTGTATCACTCTTTGTATATGAAAGACTGAGCACAGTGCTTCCCTGTGGAACTAGCACTTCTTTTCATCAGAGAAAGCCCATCTAGGTGAAAATTTTTTTAGTATATGTGCTGCTGAAGCGAGCACTAGTGAAAACTTTTTTAACTCTTCAGTGACTCCAGTATTTTGTGAACATGACATAGCATCGCTAGCACCTCTAAAAGTTTTTATGACTTTGTGCTGTTCACACCCTCAGGGATCTTTCACCGATCAGTGTTAAGTGGCTTGCTCTGGTAGTTCTTGGAGTGGGCATACGCTTTTTGAAAACTCATCTCCACTTCCGTGAGCGTGCACTCCAAAGGTGACAGAAGCATAGCAACTGGCCAGATGAGATCGAACTGTATGGTCCAATTTTTTACTAGTGCACGACTGCAGTATATAATGTTTAGACGTCTTCAGTGGAGCTGTTTACATGTATATAACGCATCTTCGTTCTTTTTCACAACCCCTTTCCCTCCTTTTCCATCTTTTGGTCTCCTTTCCTTTTGCAAACGATTTATCTCCCTGTTTCCTATTATCTATCTTTTATTTACATTTTCAGCTTCTCATACATGTTTTCCTGTAAATAACAGAGCAGTACACCTCCAAACGGCAAGTACACTTATAGCTAAAGAGAAAGCACGCGTCTGGAGCTGGGTACACCGCTCTGACACAGGAAAGGATAAGTTTGACTCGCTGTCAAATGCCGAGGGTAAAAAAGAGCACAGGTGAGAGCGAGGCCGCGCCCCGTCACGCGCGGGGACGTCTGGGGCCCACAGACGCCAAGTCCCACGGCCTCCTCATCGCGTCCCACACGCACCTTGAGGCTGAGCTCCTCCTTGTGTACAGCGGAACTGTCCGTAGAACCCAGCGCAGTGCCGTCCTCCGAGCGCGCCCCACTGACCGGCATCTCCACGCCGCCGATGTGAACCACGGAGGATAAAGACCTCGCGTCCCCGACAGAGCGCATGCGCGATCCCTCAGGCTCCACCCCTCTTCCTTCCCAAGAGTCCTAGCGCTCCGTGCTTCAGCGCCTGTGTGGCCTGGGAGTAGTTCTGCACATGCGCGCTGCTGCCTAGGGCGTGAAAGTGCAGTTGACGGCTTCTGATAGGGTCCAGCGTCGCCTCCTAGCGGATCTGAGTTAGAAGCGCTTTTGTGACCTCCTCGCTCCCTCCAAGTATGCTAAAGTGGAAGGTTCTGCGCGCTGCAGAAGAGCAGCGCAGTAAAAATAACCTCTACAAGCTTTACATTTAGGCAAAAATACGAAGCTGAGGCACACACCTGAGGCGAACAGCGTTGGCAACAAAACTGTACAGACTTGGTAAAGTTTTTTTGTCAGTCTTCTGGTTATGGTTGCTAGTTAAAAAGTTTTATGTTAATTTAAGTATGAATTTCTGATGAACCCCCCTCAGGCTTTGGCACTGAGTTGCATCCCCAGCTCTTTATTTATTTATTTATTGACAGAGTCTCAACAAATTGCCCAAATTGGGTTTGAATTTGCAGTCTCCTGCCTAAACTGCACATAGTGCTGGAATTACAGGTGTATGCCACCATGCCCGTCTCCATACAATACTTTCAATATCTCATTCTGTGAAGAAGAAAAAAAAAAGTCTAAAGCGTGGAGATAGGCAAATGAGATTACTGGATGCTTTCCAATGCTGTCCTGGGGTTGACTGATTGGTTTACAACCCAGGCCAAGAAGGAGTTAATGATTTAGAGGAAACAGGTCACAGGCAAAGATTAACTGGTTAGGATTCTGTCAGAGAGAGATGCCAATAATTTCTATTTGGTGGGCCAGATAACCCTATAGGTGATGATTTATAGTTCTGTAAGACATCAATTGGATCTATAACTATGTGATCTTACGTTTATTAATATACTACCTAGCTTGCCTGTCTTCCTCCCTTCCTCCTTTATTTCTTTTCTTTCTTTTTTTTTTTTTTTTTTTTTTTTTTTTTTTGGTACTGGGAATCGAACTCGGGTCCTTGTGCTTGCAAGGCAGGCCACCGAACCGCTGAGCTAAATCCCCGGCCCTCTTCTCCTTTCTTTCTTCGTTCTTCCCCTCCCTCCATTCTCCCCGCCTTGTTTCTTTTTATTAGCCCCCTTTCAGCCCCAGTGATGGGAACAAACCACGGACCCTGTACATCATAGGTAAGGGCTTTACCATTTTAGCCACACTCTCAGATACCCCCACCCACCCCAACTTCTCAAATGCCTTTGGATTTTGTTTTGTATCTTACTGGCTCATTTATTAATTACTGAACAGGATAAAACTTTGGCATGTGTTCACTTTGTATCTGCATGAGCACCACACTCAATACTGGAAATCTCGTCTCATGGAGATGCTGAATGGGACTTATGTGATGAAGTCTGTATGGCTTAAGAGATGTACTTTATGAGTTAAATCCCTTTTTTGTCTTTGAGAGTAAATCCCATGTGGTTATAGAACTAAGTTTACTTTTTTATTTTTTTCCTTAAAATTTTTTTTTCTGTTGTGTCCATTCCTGATAGGTAACTCCACACTGGTAGTGGCAGTGGTGGAGAATTTGGCTTTATGGTCTAACCATTGGTGATATTTGTTGGATGGCAGGCATCCAGTCTCTTTTGGAAGAGATGTCAGAGAATCCAGTTAGTCTTTTTGTCTTATGGGAGCTCAAATTAAGTTTGTGCCTACTAGGAAGGAAAACAGTTATTTGAAACCTGGACTGGTAAGTTTTTGTGTTTCTGTGTTTCCTTTCAACCTGAAATTGAAGTTTCAAAGCTGAAGCAATAAGTTCTCAGTGACTGTGTGTCAACAACCTTGTGTGAACAGGCATCCCAGTGTCTAGCGTCCACTTTGGTCCTTATACTTTCAGTTTTTCACACAAGAAAGACAGTGCAATACTTAAATACATGTGTCTGATTTATTTCACTTAAAAGCATGTGTTCAAGTGCATCCGTTGGGAAGTAGGAAGAAAATGTTCAAATGGGAAGGGAAACAAGGGAGAGGGGAGGAGGAAGGGAAAGAAGAGAAAAGGAAAAAAAAGAATAGAAGGGAAAAATGGAAATAAGGCTTTTGTAAATAAGGAAGGGAAGAAGGGTTGAACAGAGGGGAGTAGAATAGGGAAAAAAGAAGAATCAAGATATATTAATGAATAGGTACAAATTCCCTATGATGAATGTGATCATTATGTGTTTCAAAAGCATACCAATAAAATTAATTTTAAAATGCAAAATAGGCTTTCTATCTCACTGTGGGAATGTAAAATATTTTCCTATTTTTGAAGGGTATAAATAAATTCCATTATAATGCCCCTTACGTTGAAGGACCTTGTTTTATGACTTGTTCTGACTTGCTTTATGGGAATAAAGAGACACTTCAGTGAATTCCTAGTTTTTTAATTTAATTTTTTTATTAATACATGTTTGTAGCAAATAATGGTTACATCCACTGTGGGAGTTGGCACATGTACATGACATATCTTAATTCTCTTTTTTAATCTCCTTCCCTTTCCCTCACTCCATCTCCTTCCATCTCTTGGACACCTTCTCCTGTTTTGTTTTGTTTTTTTTGATACATATTTGTAGTATATAATGATCACATTCCTTGTAAGGACTTGCTACATGTACACAACACATCACAATTCCCTTTTTAGAATCCCACTTTCTTCTCCTACCTCCCTCCATCTCTTTATTCCCTTCCCATATACAAAAGATCTACCTCACTATTTCCTATTGTCTTTTATTTTTCTCTTTATTTATATTTTTAGTTTCTCATATAAGAGAAGTCATGTGATAATTAAGCTTGTGTATATCTTTATTTGACCTAACTCATTTTAAGGTATATCCATTTTCCTACAAATGACTCAAGTTTATCCTTCTTTAAGACAAAGTAGTACCTCACTGTGTATAAATACATTTTCTTTATTCATTCATCTGTTTTAGACATATAGGCCATTTCCAAGATGTAGCTATTGTGAATTGTGCTGCTATAAACAGGTATGCATATATCATTGTCATATAATATCTTTAACTCTTTTGGGAAAGCACCTAGAAGGGAAATATCTAGGTCAAATGGAATTTCTAGTTTTAGGGTTTTTTTTTTTTGTTGTTGTTGTTTTTGGTACAGGGGGTTGAACTCTGGTCCCTGCACTTGCAAAGCAGGTGCCAGAACCACTGAGCTAAATCCCCTGCCCTCTAGTTTTGGTTTTTTGAGGAATCTCCATACTATTTCTCATAGTGGTTATACTAGTTTACATTCCCACAGACAATGAAGAAGGATTACTTTTTCCCCACAGCTTTGCCAGCATTTGTCATTATTTGATTTCTTGATGATAATTATTCTTTCTGGAGTGAGGTGGAATTTCAGTATTATTTTAATTTGCATTTTTCAAATAGCCAGAGATGTTGAATATTTTTTCATGTATGTATTGGCCATTTGTACTTCCTCTTCTGAGAAGAGGAAGGTGTATTCATTTCGCTTGCCCATTTTTAAAAAATTTGGTCTTTTATTTTGGTATCTCTATTTTTTGGCGTTCTTTGCAATTCTAGATATTAGTTCTTTGTCTGCAGATTATCTGGCAGAAGTTTTTCCTCATTCTGTAGGCTGTCTCTTCACTGTGTTGGTTTCCTTTGCTGTTCAGAAGCTTTTAAATTTGATAGGATCCCATTTGTTGATTCTTGATATTATTTATTGTGCCCTTGGAGTTTTGTTCAGAAAGGCCTTGCCTATGTTTGTGTCTTCAAGAGTTTTACCTGTTTTTGTTTTCCAGAAGATTTTTTTCTGTTTTAATATTTAGATTTTTGATTCATTTTAATTTTAGTTTATGCATGGTGAGAGATATGGTCTAGGTCGTCTTCTGCATGTAGATAACCAGCTTTCCAGCCCTGTTTGTTTAAAAGTCTGTCTCTCATTGAAAGTTTTTTTTATTAATTTCAACCAATAAAATGTTTAATGGAAAACTGTAGTATACAATGGTCTGATTTCTAGAAAAAAAGTATTATTTACAAGTGAGCAGCCAAGGTGTTTCCTTTCATGAAATGTAGGTTTTAAATATTCATTCAATACACATTCATTATGTTGCTACTATAATAAAATGACGGCCAGAGACATACTCAGGACCCAGTGGAACAGGGGAGCATTACTCTTCAGTCATACTCAGAAAATCGAATGTGTTTACTTGCTTGGTTAGTCTTTTCCAGTCTAATCTTTTCCGCTTTGGTGATTAACTTCTCCGTGGCTCTCTTCTTTTCCCGAGGCTGATTGAGCTTGGCCTGTTTGTCTACCAGAATCTTCTGCCAGTATCTCTGTTTTTGATCACCAGAAAGGACCTCAAGTTTCCAGCCGTGCTTCTTTTTAATCTCCGTGTGCCCATTCATTACTGCCTGGGCCGCCTCTGGAGTTTTAAATCTAGCATGACATTCTGTGTCTCCTTCTAGCAGATCAACATATACAACTGAGATTGCTGCCAGCATATCCCGGACTTGCTTCCGGCCAGGTAGAGGTTCTGGGCTAGTGATCTTCACAGTGACTCCACTCATAAACTGGGGTCCTGGCGGGTTAACCTTCTCCTGAGGGCGACACTCTGGACCATTGGCTCCTTTCACTGCGGCCTTACAGGGTTCTGCACTATCCGTTTCCATTTCTGATTCTGATTTTATTTGGGATATTGTCTTTTTTAAAGAAGCCATGCTGGCTTTTTGCAGTGCCAAATACTCTTTTTTCAAATCCATCCATTCGTTCTTGGATAAGACTCTCAAAGGTATAACTTCTTCTCCCATTTTATGTCTCTCTTTATGCTTTTTTTTTTTGTGCTTCCTTTTGGTTTTTAATAGAGAACCTTCTTTTATGTCTGCAGTGTCCTTTTCCTCTTCTGTAGAAAATTCTGCATCTCTGTTTTCTTTGGAAACTTCAGAAGCCTCTTTTTTAATGTTTTTCTGAGCCATTTTCTTGATTTTTGATTTGGGAGCCAAGCTTTTGGCGTCTGCAGAGCTGCTCCTCTTCCTCTTAG